TTTTTTGTGCAAGATGGAGGTGTTTGGTTTGGGTGATAGGTTGTTGATCCAATAGATGTGCCATATGTGTCCTATGTTGCATACTTGTTGTTCATGGATATATGATCTCAGTGGTGATCAGTTCTATGACCTCTGGCCGGGTCCACGGATGAAGTCTCGGTCATTGTGATGTGTCTTCGACTTGGACGGCACCACTTCGGACCGAGAGCTGACCGAAGGTGCCGGATCCATGGTCAGGTACCGCTCTGGTGTTCGACACGTTCGGTCACCGGCGGGTCGGCTCGGTCGGATCCCGGGTCGACGTTCCACCCGGAAGGGCCCGGGTCCACCGGGGTCGCTGGGAACGGAGCGAACCCACACGGAGCTGGACGGATCGATTGATGAAGTCCGATGGACCTATGGAGATTGACACCACTGTGGCTTGGGACAGGGCCAGCATCGCAAATGCAGAGCTCCACTAAGTTAGTGAGAAACACAAGTAATCAGGTGCTTCTCCAAGGCTTAGCAGTTTACCTGTTGGGATGAATCCATTTGTATCTCAGAAATGTCTTCGATTCTTGGTTTTCAGAGTCCCCCGACTGGTCCAAGTGGCGCTTTCTTTGTTCTTTCTGAAGAGTCAGGGTGCGAGACATGTCCAACTGGAAAGTTGTCAGAAGCTCGCCGATCTATGATCTTAGTCACCCCCAGATGATGGAGAGTTGATGAGAGTCATTAAGGAATAAGGAATCAAGAATCCGTTGGCGGTTGGGGCTGATTTCCTCCCAAAGAGGCTAGAAATCCGAGTTCACCACTTGATGGCTGTTGCGTCCTCGTTTCACCATAATCATGTTGACATGGGTCACCTCTTTTGAGAGTTGAGTTCCTTTTATGCAGAGAACACCCAACCTCGATGCATTCCAGTTCCAGGCCTTCGTATTCGCTTGGGGCATGTGACCGCGAACAAGCTGGTGACAGGCGCCAATTCGTTCATTCCTTGTTATCCGTTGGAAGCTCCCGGAAGACCCTTCTGGAAACGGGTTTTGGAAGGTTGGGTTAGTTTGAGATGGAAGAATCACTGCGCCAGGTGGATTCGGCACCAGCACCCCCCGGGCCCCCCTGCCCTTACAAATAAGGGGGTGGATTTTGAGTCTGAAGTTGTGATCATTTCAGACCCGAAGCAACTGCTACATGTGTTTCTTCGTTTCATAGTTGAGATATTTTGAGGGTCAAAGCCCCTCGCAAAAGGGCATAAAAGGGCTGGGTCCTGACTCTGAGCCTTTGGGACGCAAGAGAGAAAGTGGTTGAGGATGCTTGGGGGAAGTCTTTGTTCATCCCTCCGATCTGACTGTACCGGGAGTACAGTGCAAATCATGATCCACCTTGCTTCTGAGAAATAGATTCCCAGGCCAGCACGACCACAGCACGACCACCATTCGGGGTTCGCCATTGGATTGGAAGTGCCTACACTACTTACGGAAGGTCCAGGTGGTTGTTGTCCATTTTTTGTGGATTAACACATGAACCTTGCAAGAGAGGTTAAGTGACCTTATAGGACCCTACAGGGGTACCTATGGGATAGTCTATAAGGTCCTTCAACCTCTGTTGGTTGATTGCAAGTCTGCTCAACATGGGTTGTTGCGACTGGATGCCGACTGGAAACCCTGGGCCTTGGTTCAGGCAAATCTCTGCACGATGCCATGTGTGCCTTGGGCCTCACACGCTATAAGGAGTGAACGAGTTCGACCGTGGAGAAAGCGCAGTTTCTTGGGAGGGAGGTGAATTATGATTTGTATTGCATTCTATGATTGACACGTGGAAGGTCTGACTGACATAGACGTTTCTTAAACTTATCTAGATAAGGCGCGTCCAGCTAAATACTAGTGTGTATGAGATAAGTTTGTCATATAATCATACAACCTAGTCATAAACAGAGTTAAGTAAGAGAATAAATTGTTGCTTGTCCGATTTGTCCAAAAGAGAAGCGACCTGAGACTAGGACCAGCTTGTGAACGGCACAACAAGGAAAGATGTGAAGAAGAAGAAGAAGAAGCTGAGGGGTGGGGGGAGGGGCGATGATATAATAAGGAAAACGATAATGCTGGACAAATCAATTTAACAAAGGAAACGGCCAAATCTAAGAAGGAGATGCAGACCAATAGTGGAGCTAAATGAATAGTAGAAGATGCTAGCCAAGGAGTGATCATTTCAAGCTTGTTGAGTGACAATGCATTTCGATCATAGTGTTTGGTGCCATCGACAAGAGGAGCAGCTCAATGAGCCTGAGACACAACAGTTTATACTCTAGTAACTCCAGTATGGGAAAATCTGTAAGACCATGAGAGTAACCAGAAATTACTCGAGGATACTGATCAAGATTGAGAAAGGAAAGCAAATTGAACAGATAATAGCAAATCAAGATTGCTCGGTGACAATCAAGTGTACAATCATTTTGACAAACCAATAGGTCAGGTTCCTAGATCCCACTCCATACCAAAAAAAACGCTAAAGACTGAAAAACCCGTGCCTAAGCACATGAACATAAAATCCCAAAAAGGTGGCATTCACCGATGTGGGGTTCAGCATCGACCTGCGTTCGACCTGGGAGGGTGCCAAACATATCCCCAAGTGTGTCCGTTTCCAGAGTCTTGACTGGAAGCCCCTTATTGACATATTTGAGCACCGACTTCGGTTTAAACAGTTCAACGGTTTATATAAACGGGTGTGTGATTTTTGTTGGGGTTCGATTTGCTTCTTATTCTGAAATTACTTCTGATGGTTTCGGGTTAGCTTTCTGACCGGATTTGCACAGAGTGTCCTCCATCAATGCCTGGCAGTGTGGTTTCTCTCTCTCAAATGCAGCTGGATATCACTTGATAAATAAGACCAACGTTGAGTGAAAACAAAAACTACACTGCCAGGAGTGCCCCAAGGAGAATGAACACTTCCTACTCTCGGGTGTCTCCCGTTGGATGGAAGTTTTCGGGTCAAACATAGCATTTGGCTATGTTTCTGATGCCCCTTTGTGTATATTGATCTCAAAAATGGATGGAAACGGTTTCCAACACATTTTTAGTGGTGATCTACTTTTCTATCTACTTGGGGGTCTCTATTCCCTAGCCTATAGTGTTTACTTGATTTTGCAAACACACCGGTCTTTGTTTAGCTTCGGCCCCCC